TACTCCGACTGCACAAGCCGACAGCTTGCAAAAACTCTCCAATTGCCTGTACTTACACAAAAACTAATTTAAAAAAAATCACAGGGTGGTTTTCACCCTTAATCGACAATTAACTTAATTAAGAAATTGATCACTGTGAAACATCCAACTTATATCAATAACGATCGATTTTCGTTTATAAAACATAAGTCATGTTCGTGAAATGCGGTTACAATTGATCAGCAGTAGTCGACATTTTGGCTAAAATAAACTGCTTAATAAAGGCATCAATGACTATTAGGTCATAAAGATATTCAGCTGATTCAGAAAAATAAATCTTATAAACGCTCGGCCCTACCTGACACTTACTAATAAAACGAAAAACTGACTAATTTCCATTAGGTTAGGTTAACATTAATTAAATTAATAAAAAACTCACAACCTACATCACTAAAGCTTTATGTAAAATAGAAAACCTCAGTCCATGTTCTTAGGCTCAAAATGTCATCGATATACACCAAGAGTTTACCAAAATATGAATTCACATAACATGTGAAATATTAATTTTACATGTGCTCGGCTTTTAAATAAATCGAGAAACACCACTAAATCTTGTTAACTAACCTTCAAAATTTATGCAGCTTTGCATAACAATTCGAAATATAAAAATATTGGTTGGATCTTACCGAAGTATTAATTAAACGATTCCGTTTTACAATACATGGCAAGGAAAACACGTTCGCCTCACTACTTGCATGTTCCAACATGTTTTTCCCAGTGACGTGTCTCAAATGACTTTTTCAAGTATCTTCAAAGTACTTCTATACAACTACAATTTCAAACTAGACACGTTTTGACTTGTCGAAATTACGACTTTCGCAATCACAGTAACGATCGATATCTTTCACTTTGCACTTTTTTTTAACTTAAATTTTACATTCAGAGTGGGGGTTAAGGCTAGAATCACGGGAATCCTATCCCACTTCTGATTTTAGATATTTCGATACAAATGATTTAAAAAAAATATAGACGATCGGCCAAATCAACAATACTTGCTAATTACTTTAAAACTAACACAAAGTCAACTACATATGTAAAGATATCGAACGTTCCGTGGTGACGACTAGAAATGTACTCAGCTATTGAGCTTCTGAGCGAATAACGGACTGTCGGGCCGAGCCCTGTGAGACTCCTTACAAGTGTTTTACAAAACTACCCCCCACTTTTCCTACTATTTCCTAAAAATAAATATATAAATAAAACATTAAATTCCTTTAACCTATTCAATTATCTTCCATTATAACCTATAAATTTTAACCTTAACCTGTCCAAACTTAACCAATGAATATTAAAACTACATCAAAGCATTAAAATAGAATAAACAAAAATGTTGAAGTTCGCATTAATAATTTATGACAGCACTTGTGGGGAGGTTTTGTACACCTGTATATCCATCACTGTCGTTCTCTTTGATATAAACAGAGACAGCAATAGTGTTCGTAAACAAGCATCCATGTTAGAGTTTTGCCGAATATGGCGCACAAACGGCAAATCTCACGGGACTCTAGACACGTCAAATGTCAAAATGGTGGGCGTTATGTTTTGTTGTCATGGGTATAATAAATATTAGACTGGCGAGTACTTAGAAATGAGGGCAAAAGCAAAATCTTCATTTCTATTTTAGCACCTCTTTTGATGTGAATGTCGGCTAGGTCTACTATCATTAGTTTAAAAACTTCTCCGCGACCAACCGTAGACATCAGCGCCAAAATGAATAAAATCGAAAAGATAAAATACCACAGTTTATATCCTATCTATTTATAGAGGTCAGTGACATATTGTAGAAAATACACAAAGAGCACCAATTTAACAATTACTCTTAAAATAACCAAAACGAATATTGTAATACTAGTTTCACCCGCGACTCCGTCTGCGTGTAATTAAAAAAAACTTAAGTTACCTTTTATGTTCTTCTAGACTATCGAGATCCGTTCCGCCGTTTAGAGTACAAATTCTAACAAACATCCATTATCTAAACTTTAGCATTAATAAAATAAGATGAGATAAGGTTAGTAAGAACTTTCATGGGATAGCTTTTGGTTCTATTGAAAATAGGAAAAACGGCCACAAATTTGAGTGATTAGACGATAGATGTCACTTTTACAAATTATTAAAATGTTATGGCTAAGTGTTAATTTATATAGCGAAAGCAAAATAGTAAACCGTACCCCAAAAGAACATAATTTCATCTTTTTTTGGAAAAATGTAGATTTTCTCATTTTTTTTAAACATTGGTTATATAATTTGCATCGTAATATCGATTTTTCAACAAATCAATGTTCCAAAAACTCAGAGTTGCCTGTTAAAACAATATATTAATTTTATTTCTTGTTATAAAATGGCGGCCAACAACGCTTCAAATAAGTGATTTGTTACGTATACAATACAAAAATATTGCATATTTTACAAACGTTCAGCGATAATTAGTGAAGAGTGCTTAATTATTAGTAATAGAAATAAAATAGTGATTATGAAATATCGTTTTTCATATAGTTTTAGTAGTTATAAAACGGCGTGGTAAATTTTGCATAATGACGCAGTTTCTACCACCAAATCTACTTGCATTATTCGCCGCAAGGGACCCTATACCTTATCTCCCACCGGCGGCGAAGCTCCCTCATGAGAAAAAGCAAAAAGGTTACGATGGAGTCGGAGGATTCCTTGAAAAGTTTGAGGTTAGTTATTCCGAGTTTCTTTTGCTTAAACATGTATAAAATATTGTTGTCCCCAACTTTATCTTGGAAAGAAAGGGGATAGCAATGTTTTTGTACTGATGAAAAACATTTTTAAAAGTTTTAGTCTGACTAGTAATGACTAGAAAAATATCCATTATCAGTCGGTGATAATTTAAAAAGAAAGATTGTCTGAAAACGCTTTAGCTGAGTTATTTTAATGCAAAAACTTTCCTCTTTATAATATTGATATAGTTACCCCAACATGGGGTAGCGGTAAAACCATATGTTAAGGTTTTTAATTTGCTGCTAAAAAGTCAACAGTTCAATTAGTACTTACTAGTATTCTTATACATATCCCAAAATTCAACAATAAGCCAATACCCATATGGTCATCCATGAATACCACCTTATTGAGGTTTCATATAATCATCTTGGTGTTACCGCTGCTTCTTTGTCCCGTCTCTTATAAAAATAAAATCTTGGTATAGTTCTATTTAAATATCTTGTCAGCAGTCATTGGTGTGATGAACCTTAAATTGTATCCCACTATTCCCTACCCCTAAAATTGTTTTCTATCTTACTGATGTTATATATGCGAAAGTTTAGATGGATGGATGTTTGTTAGCGTTTTTAGCCTAAACGGTTGAACGGATCTCCATAAAATTTGGCATAGATTTAGAGCATAGTCGGGTAGAACACATAGGCTACTTTTTATCCCGGGAATAGTTACGGTTCCCATGGGATTCATTAATTTAGTTTTTTAATATTTACTCGATCATTCTGCAACGGTTCAACATATCTTATTGAAATTTGGCACAGATATAAAACAAAGTCTGGAGTACACATGGGATAAGCTTCATCCCCGAGATATGTCCGGTTCCCGAGGGATACATAGTATTTGTAATTCATATAGTTTGTATGTTTTCTAATTTTACGTGGACGAAGATGCGCGCAACAGCTCGTACAACATAATTATGGAATACTAGCTTTCTAGCTACTGAAAGTAGCAACATATGCTTCTAGACTATTCTCTATGTTTATGTCAAATTTAAAGACCCATTAACCCTTTTGACCTAAAGACTAACAAACATCCATCGGTCCTCGGCCCTCTCGGGTGCCCTTGAATTGGAATGCGTAACGCATATTGAGTGACAGCCCAAGCCAAGGTCCCCTCTTGGGGGTTCTTGTGCCTAGTCACTCCATGGAGCGTCCATCGAAGCAATCTAAGAGCTTGGTGGCCTCCCAATCCGGGAATAATAACAAAGTAACGGCTCATTGCAAGGCTCCTGAGGGAGCCCTCGAGCTTAGTTACTCATAAACGAGGTTTAGGCTAAGCGCCATCTGCGCTCGGCCACCTCAAGCCCGGTGAATCTGTAAATGTCTCTTCAAGACAAACAGTGGCCATTTCACAAAAAAAAAATCCATACCTCCATATTTGTAATATTGGTAAGATTAAGAGTCAGAATGTTGAGTCATATGTAAACTAACATAGCAGTATAGAAATATTTTCACTTACTCCACAGCTTCCATCGGAGACTCCTCCGCCAACCCGCGTGGAGACGCGCGAGGAGCGCATGGAGCGACGCCGACGTGAGCGAGCGGAACAGACAGCTTATCGACTGGAGCAGGAGATTGCGATGTGGGACCCCGCAGCCAACCCCGCATCCACCACAGACCCTTTCAAGACATTGTTTGTGGCAAGAATTGTGAGTTACCTAATGAGTAGAGTAGAGCAGATTTTAACATCTTCACACTGTAAACTGGCTTGTTGTTTGCTATACTACAAACACAGAAGAAAGGTAGCATGTAGAAGCAATTCCGTTCATATATCACAACTAGCTGTTCCTATGTGACTTCATCCGTATAAAATTGTAAATATTTTATTTTATTATTTACATTTGTCAAATTATCAGTTGCAAATGTCAAAATGACGACATGATATCAAACCATGGCAACCTTGATTCCTTGATGTTGGCAGCAACTTTGGTCTCTTTCCCACATTAGGGCTTTTATCCAAAATATTTACCTCTAAGCATAATGGCTTGAAAATATATAGCTTAAAGCGTAACGGAAGTGTAGGGCTTTTTATTAAAGGAAGCATTATCCTAAATATGCTGACAGGCAACAAAGAAGTGTGTGTTGTGAATACAAAATGACATAATTCTGTTCATAGAGGCAATAAGGCCTAATTTTAGTTCTCTGTAGTCTACTAAAATTAGTTGTGTGATGTTCATTAGGAGGCTCTTCTAGTGTCCTGGTGTGTTTTTGATGATCTCTGGACTTCCCCGTCATACTCGGGTGCTACCGAGGATGTTTTAGTGGAAGAATTCCCATATGACTTATTACCTCAAAAGGCAGGACTGTTGAAGATTCCCCCTTACTTCTTACTAGAATAAGAAAAAAACGGGAAAGCTTATTTAGTTTTTAGTAGTTTTTGAATAACTATTCAATAAGTAAAAGTTAAAGTATGAAATGATGTTTGAAATAAGTGTTTGTTTTTTCTAGAATTATGATACATCCGAGTCTAAGTTGAGAAGAGAATTTGAAGGATATGGACCAATTAAACGGGTAAGAATTAAATGTTGTTTATATAGAAAATAATTATTTTAAACCACATTGTAACATTAACAAAGCTATTCTTAGCTGTTCTATACAAATCTTACTTCTTACTAATATATAAACTAGCTTTCGCCCGCGACTCCGTCCGCGTGGAATTGAAAGAAACTAATAAAAATGTCTGTGTTTTTCCAGAGTATGCTCTACATCTATACCAAATTTCATCAAAATCCAATTAAGCAATTTATGCTACACACTCTAACAAACATCCATCCACCTAAACTTTCACATTTATAATATTAGTAAAATGTAAAAGTTCAGACGGATGGATGGATATTTGTTAGAGTTTGTAGCATAAATAGCAGACCAGATTTCAATGAAGTTTTGATGTAGAGGAAAGTGTAAAAACAAAAAAAACTAAGTAGCTTTGTTCTTCTAGATTGTGTTCTACATCTACCAAATATCATCAATATCTCTTTAACTGTTTTGGGGATGCATAGTAACAGACATCCATCCAGCTGTTCCCGTGCGGCTTCACCCATATGAAATTATAAAAATCATTTGCACAAATGACAATGAAGACTTACCATTGGTCAACAATTACTGTTACCTGCAATTTTGTTTGTTTTACTGCTATTGTATTAGTATTTCTAGCATTGATAATACTAGCCGTTACCGCGACTTCGTTCACGTGAAATTAAAAAATAGTCAAATACAGCCTGTTATTCAGCGATAACTAGCTGTTGAATAGTGAACAGAATATTGAAAGTGGTCCAATAGTTTTTTAAGTTATTTCAATATATGCAAAAATACAAATCTTTTCTCTTTAAAATATCAGTATAGATAGATAAAAATATTGAATATTCGATTCCAGATTAGTATGGTATACAGCAAAGAGAACGGCAAACCGCGCGGATACGCCTTCATCGAGTACGAGCACGAGCGCGACATGCACTGTGAGTACACACACCACCACACCACCACACTCACCACACCACACCACACGGAGAGACGACATCGCTGCATCTGCACTGGAAAAATTGCATTTTACACTTCAGATTACATTACATCCCCTCCATCTGATGTGTAAAACTTGTTTACATTACATATTGATTGCATCTAGAATGTAAAAGTCTTGAATTTTACACTATTAAATTTCTATACAGTTCTATTCACGTAATTTATCTCCTAGATTGTTAGTGATCACGTCTCTCCCAAATTATTTGCATAATTTCAATTCTTTTTTTACAGTATTGAAGGTAAAATACGTTAAAAAAGGATTGAATTTGTGTAAGAAACAAGATAAAGACAATTGGCCATAACTTTGTAGCCATTTCACAATTCTATAAATATATGGAATTGATTTGTATTAACTGTTATTTAAATTTAAAAATATTACGAAATCATTATTTTGCCCTTTTCATTATTTAGTCTCATTACATTTCATTTTTCAATCTTCCTCTACCTTCGGAGACATCCAAATTTAATCTAGTAAAGAATGTAGACTCTTTGATTCTTCTTCCCGAATTGTAAATATGCAATAATGTTTATACTAGCTTTTGTCCGCGACTTCGCTTGCAATTTAAAAAACTTTATAACCTAAGCCTTCTTTTCATATCTGTACAGAATTTTATCCAGATTTATTACGCGTTCTGAATCTAGTAATAAACATCCATCCAAACTTTATGATTCATTTTAGCAAGTTTTTTCCTTATATTATAATGTATTTTACAGTTATTCAATAGAATTGGCTAATTGTTATGGTGCAATTTTTTCATCTAGAAAATTCTAATAACCTTTTTGGAGGGAATATATTAACATTTTGTATAATATTAATTCATTGTGATCAATGCCAAGAATTTATACATGGAAAATATTTATTTTTTACAAAATAACTTTTATATTCATGTTCATAGCCTGACCAGAAATATACAGTCATGATGGCAGCAAAATTTCCAATCATATTAGAACTTTTTACGTCTACGTCAATAGGTACAATTAATAAATTTAATGACTTCTAATTGTCTGTTATATTTTTTTCTCCGCGATTATAAATATTTTACACGTCAAATTAAATTACAACGGACTTAAAATCAAAGTAATAACGAAAAATACTTTTACAAACCGACAATAATAAACAATGTGGTTACCATGGCAACGACTTTATCCTTTTAACAATTGTTACTATTACCAGATATTGTTTTCCGTAGGTTTTCCTCGACACGGCCACATTTCTGGTCACGCTATAATTTATATCTAAAAATACTTTAGATTCAAGCATTTAAATCACATTGTGTTAATATTTTGATGACATATATTTGATATATATATTAATGGCAAAGTGGAATGAGGTTCTCCACCTCCTACCTCCAGTAAGGTCCGCCCTGTCCGAGGGAGATTCCGCTCGCGCGAGTTCTCTATGAATTAACGAGTGGTTTTTCTATTTTCACACCACAGACCGCAGGCCGTAAGACCCTCGCTCACGAGCTAACCGGCAACTCGCTTTAATAGGTTTGTATGTGGTAAGACTGCCAACATACAACGTTTAAAAATTACGGATTTATTTAAAAAAAAAGTTTAACGTAGTTTCGAACAACTTGTTTAGTTTAAAACGGTTTTTTTTTATTTGTTTGCGCTGAGGATAAAGTAAGTAAGCGCACCAGGTAAATGGGTAAACGACGAGTAACGCTGGGAATAAAATAAATAAAAAAATCAATGTAAGTAATCGTGTAAATTAAGGTAAAAAAGTGCCGGTAACTTTGGATTTGTTTTTGGGTAATAAAGTAAGTAACCAAAACGGTAGGTATAAATATTTCAATATATATTTGAGAAATAAATTAAAATGGTGTCTCTCGGCTCGGTCGGTAGGTATGCATGTAGGTATTCTGAGAAAATTATATATTCCAGTGAGAAATCACTGGAATATGTAATACGTCTTTGCAGGTGTCATTGTTGACAATCATCAATGAAATTGCATATTTTTATATGTTGTAAAATTTAGATTTAAAAATGTCTAATCAACTGTTTGCATTGGTAAATGTGAATGTATTTGATTACACATTTTTTATTTACATGGATTATTGTTTACATTACATATTATAATTTGGAATGTAATTTACAAGTAATGTTTACGAATCCATGTAAATAGTAAATGTATCGTGCGGCGTGGACGGCATATAATTGGTTAATCTTTCAAACTTAGATCGAAATTAATTATTACACTAAACACAATTAAAACATACTTATTTCAAATATTATCTTTTATTAAAGTTGAAATTGACATTTTAATATGACTTGTAAAATATGTTGAATATTAATTTTAATTTACA